TTCTTCAAAATGAAAGTTGATGATAAATTAATCAACTCTGACTGCTGCTAAGTATGGGTAGTATAAACCCAAGTGCCAGGGGGACCTCAGTGATCTTCCCAGAAGGTACTCTGTTTCTCTTTTGTGAATTCTGATCCTGCCCATCCTTCAAAGCTTTGCCCAAAGTATACCCTTTTGCTTGAATGTCCTTGCCTCTCTAGCCACCTAACATTTCCTGTCAGACAGCATTTATGCCACTGGATTTCAGAGATCTTGACATAAAAATTATACTTGTTTATTTAAGACATAGGAGAAATCAGCCCCTCTGCAGAGCTTCCGGCTGCCCTGACGAGGAGGAGTTAAATTGTACACGTATACCCAGAAGTTAGTGGGGTTAAGCCTTATCTTGGCCCAGAGTTCCTAGGAAACAGTGGAGGGGAGCATAGCACGATCCTAAGAACAAATCTGTTAGGAGAAGGGGACATTACAGGTCCAAATGAAAATAAACAAACAAAAGCATCCTAACGTGTTATTTGTAAAAGCAGAACATGGAAGGAGCCAGTATAGCTGAGCTCCACAGTTAAGGAGCAAGGTAGTGTGAGACTAGGGCTGGGACCATTTACATGAAGGGGGAGAGTCAAGAGATACAAATGGCTTTCTCTTTGGACCTATGGCTAGCTAATAAAAAAAATACTTTGCTCCCATAAGTTGATGCATTAGGTCAGGTGAGGCCAATAGGAAACAATGATTTCTAACTTCTGCTGTCCTAAAACTCTGGAACCCAATACGTCAAATTTGCCACCTTACTGAGGCTATTTCTGTCCATGGAAGAGTGAAGATGAGCCAGTGACTGAGGCTTTAGGACAGGGGTACTAGATGATGATATTGAGGGATCCCATTGGCTTCAAGGTCTACAATAATTTTCATGTGCATACATTTTTTTTGAGGGGTGGGGAAGAGTCCACCATCAAAATCTCAGAGACCGGAAATCCTAGTAAGAGTTACTTCAGAAATAATGATGATTAAAAGTTATGCTTGCCCTGGCTGGGTGGCTCTGTTGATTGGAGCATTGTTCTGTACACCCAAAGGTTGCAGGTTTGATTCTAGGTCAGGACACATACCTCGGTTGTGAGTTCGATCCTCGTTTAGGGCGCATATGGGAGGCAAGCAGTCCATGTTTCTCTCTCTCACATTGATGTCTCTCTCTCTTGCTTTCTCCCTCTCTGCTTCCCTCCCTCCCTGAGATCAATAAGCATGTTCTCAGTTAAGGAAAAAGTTATTCTTGTCCTCAAGGAGCTTCCCCCAAAGTAGGGAAAACATGAAGAATAATATCTCACAGCTACTGAATCTTCCCTCTTCACAAGCACTGTGCTGACTCACATACCTAAGCTCATTGAGTCCTAACACAAAAAATCTTAGGCTGGTACTGTCATTAACTCCAAAGTCAAGGCTTGTAAGGAACCCATAGACCAATGGCCCACACAGATATGTAAAAGAAAACAACAATCCACTGTGATCATTGCGAAGAGGAGCACAGAGGTATCCCAGAGGGGCTGCTTACACTGGGATTGGGAAGTCTTCCCAGAGAAGAAGTGTCATCATCTAGGGTACCTGGCACTCCCAGCTCGATGAGAACTGTTTGCTGGTGCATTGCTTATAACAGCAACAAATAGAAATGCTCTCATTTAATCTAATCCATATCCCCTGTTAAGGGTTTTACATAAATGTTTCCTTTAATCCTCCAAATAAACACACAAGGTAGGCATTACTTTCCTTTTACAGAGGACAGCAATGAGGCCTAGAGATGTAAGAAGCTGCTTAAGGACCCTTAAGTGGTGGCCAGGATGAGAGCACACCCTGATCTAACTCTGATGATCAGGCTGTTTCTTCCTGGGCTGGTTTGAGGTTTCCTCTAAAGACAGCTGAGTCTCTTACCGGAGTTTTGTGTAGACGTGGACCCAAGGAAAAAGAAACTGGATGTTAGCTAGAGCAACAGGCCACTGGTCAGTGTCCCTTCTTGCGGGGAATTTATGGAAGTCTGCTGAGTCCCTGCTTCATGCACATTACTTTGGCTGTGCTTGTCTTTTTGGCTAAAGAGCAGGCAGTGAGGAAGCAAGAAGGGAGATCATGGCAGGGACTGCCACAGCACAGAGGCGTCCTAGGGAAGGTCCATCATCAGGGAGATTTATAGGAGGTCCCTCATCAGGGAAGGTCTACGGGAAGAAGCCTAGAGAACAGGGAGATCCCAGACAGGGTAAGGTGTAGGGTATTTAAAGTACTTGTGAGAGCTTTTAGCAAGTGGGACCAACTTTCCAATACATTTTCCCCTCAAAATCACCTCACAAGTTAGATGCAATAACCTCTTTGGTAGATGAGAACACCGAGACTTGGAGGGGCAAGGAAACTTGTCAGGAGTCCCACAGGTAGTAAGAACAGGAGCTGACATTCCAAATGCATCCATCTGCTTCTTTATCAGCACCTGAGATTTTTACCTGCTGCCTCTTTCAGACTTTTAGAAATGTTGAAATCATTCACGGAAAAACCATCATCACCATCAGATGCACCCAGGATTCTGTGGGAACAGCAGGTTGGGAGCCACTGCAGGCCATTCAGGTGGCCCAGATATTTTCCACCAAAACCTTATTCCTCTGAATGACCCTTTCAGAGTCAGACAGACAGAGAATTCCCATTAAGAGAAAGTGCTGGGGATTTTTACTAATTCCTACTGCAGGCTAGGGTCATTCATACATTCATTAAGTACCCCTAGAGCAGCTGTGTTGTGCCTGGCTTCCACAGACCAGGCCCTGGGCTTGCTTCTGAAAACACAAGGACCTCAGGAAGCTCCTGGAAGTGATGGGGAAGCAGCAGCAATCTTATACTGTGTGGTAAAGGCTATTAATACTGGAATGATAGGGCACAGGGCCACAGAGGCAGGGGCACTCTGCTGACACTGTGTGGAGCAGACACCCAGAGAGTCTCCCTGAGAGCAGAGCTTGAAGCTAAGGACTGTTTGTGTGGGCTGCAGAGAGGGTGGGGGAGGGTGTGACTGCTTCAGGAAGCTGTAGAGTTCAGTAGAGCTGGACCAGGAGGGGGTAGATAGAGATACAGGCTGTATCCAGGACCCAAGTGCCAGGTATGCTGTACAGGGCAAGGAGCTTGGGTTTTTTTTGAACCATTAAGCATGGAGATAGTGTGGCCAAGCTGGTTAATAAATTTGCCAAAACAAAGGTAGCAAATGAAGCCTGTTTCCCCCCATATCTAAACCTTTTAGGGGTCAGTGAGGCAATTTAGGCATAAATAGAATTTTAGGGAGCTGTGTCATGGGGTCTGGACCAAACTGAGACAGGAAAGACCAGGGTCTCAGTGACAAGATGGCTTGATTAAATGCAAAGGCCTCAGGGAGAAAAATGTTTTTTTCTCTGAGTGGCACCTCATTGTATATCTTCTACTATGTTTTCAGACTTGGGTTTTCTTTGGGTATGGTTTTCTTTTCTTTTTTTTTTTTTCATTGAAACTTACCTGCATTGGGTTTTGGAACCAGTATTTAGGTGGGGTATGGTGGTTTCAGAAAGATACTGGCAGAGTAGGACAAAGAAAGGGACACTCATCAGAAAGAAATGTCACAAGGGCCAAGGGGAGCTGGGGTGGGGGTGCCTAAGGATTAGACTAGAAAGACTCCTGACTCAGAGAATCCAACAGCTCAGGGGTGGAAGTGACATCAAGAGCTCACTGGCCCCTCTACCCATTCCATGTTTGGATCCCCCGCTCCCAGTTTTCTGACAGGTGGTCTCTCCCAGATGCAGCTCCAGTGATGGGGAGTGCACACTCTTAGCTCAGCTTCCCTGGACCTGCACAGCTGTGACCTTGGAACATCACCCTCATGCGGAGTGGGGCCTGGCTTTCTTGTGGTGCACCCACTAATCTCAGTTCCATGAGCTGGCTGACACAGAGCGCCACATCCCCTCTCCTGTACACGGCCCTCTGGGTGCCCCTCTCCATCTTTTCTTTTCCATGGTCCCTTTTCTCCAGGCCCACCATTTCCAAGTCCTTTAGCTACTCCTCATGGGATGGGGTCTCAGACCCCCTATTTAATCTGATCTTGAAGTTCGCAGGTGTGTCTCTATGTCTCCCACCGTGTGGGGTCCAGAACTGGTAATGATGGTCCAGACAGAGTCACTTAGCCTCCCAGCAGCTTGTTAGGGCCAGAGCTGGGGTTCCTGAGGGTCTGTACAACTTCAAGCCCATGCTCTTTCCACCCATGACTGAGTTGATTAAAATCAATAGTGATTAAACACCGTAGTTTTGTAGTTGTTGTTATTTGTTTTACATAGGCCATGGCAGAATCTCATGTCCCCCTGCTCAAGAGCCCTCCCTGGCTCCCCAGTACTCCCTGAATTATATGGAGAAGTTGCCTGCAAAGTACCAACTGGAAGTCCTAAATGTAGGTGTGGGCCTAGGGTGCCTTGGGGCAGTACCACAGAGCTTGACATTTCCCTTCCCTCCCACACTTCCAGGAGTCCCACCAGCACACGGGCACAGTGCTTCCTGGGTCCTCCATGAGCCCACTGCGCACGGCCTTTTCCAGTCTTCTGGCTGGACCCTCACATACGCTAAAGGTCCTGACTAGCCCTTCCTCTGTAGTCCCTCTGAAACTTCTAACCACTTCCAACTTGGAAGGACAAAAATCTTCTCAGAACAATACACTGCCCCCTACCTGACCAGGTATCATAAAATCTTTGGCTGAAGCCTTTTGCCATGGAACACCTTGGGCTTGGTGGTTTTCACGATTCAACTTACTCCCACTGGTGGAGCCAGACCTTCTCCCAGTTGGCACCCCTCCCTCAGTCCCACCATTTTGTCCCTTGTGCTCCCTTCCCTCTGACCACTGAGGGGTTCCCGCATGCAGCCACAGCAAAGTCATGTGGGTCATGACACATCCAGTAGAGGGGTTCCTTTCCTCAGGTTGTAGACACATGAATCCAGGTCACGGGAACCCAGCAGTAGAAAGGAGATATACTTACACTTACAGGTTGACTTTTTGGCACATCATAAACACCTTCCTTCTTTTGGCTGGTGGGAACCTATGGAAAAATCAAATTCAACAGTCAAAACACTGGTACTCCATTTTGAAAGAACAAACCAACCAGACCTCAACACCAGTCTGGATATGCGTGTGTGAGAACAGCCCCTAAGGCCCCAGGCAGGGGCAGACCCAAGGGGCTGTGAAAGCAGCACGCCTGGCTTCTCCTCTTAGGAAAACTGGGTGAGGAGGGGGTATGTGTGAATCATTTAACAAACGTCTGCAGGTGTCTCTGCCTTTGGGCTCCTCACAGAGTCACAGAAGAGGAAGCTGCAGAGACCCCAGCAACCATGTGGTAAAAAAAAATAATCCCCATTTCACCCAAGACAAAAGTGAGGCTTAGGGAGGTTCTCTGAGCTGTCCAAAGGGATCAGAAGACAGTTTTTGGCTTCAACACTAAGACTGACATCCAGGCTATTTGAAATATAGCAACTTCCCAGGTCCCAGTACCAAGTACCACTTCTGTTGGGATATATACAAGCCACTGGATAATTGTCAGAGGTTTTTGTTCAAGAAAAGGACCCAGAAATGGTATGAAGATCATGAGACTAGAATTAAGAAAAATCTCAGTTTTTAAAAAACACGCATCTCTTTCTCATCCATCTGTGCTGATTGGGCCACATGTTGGCCAGACCACCCTAAGCTCTTAGCTCTAAGCTCTTAGCTCTTGGTCACTTAGCTCTTCTGAGTTATACTCTTATAAAATGGGTGCTATTGGCTCTACTTCTCACTCAGATCATTGTGAGGATCAAATTGGAAAACAGACAGTAAGTAATCAAAAACAATTTGCATCATAGTACCATAAAATGTTAGAACGACAGCTTCTTTTATCATTAATGTCATATATACATGAACGCATTTTATAATACTAAGAACAGTGCATTGAATACTTTTCTTATTTGTCAATCAAGGGCTCTGTACTGAAATATTCCAGACTGAAAGTACCCACAGTTGTTCTTCTCCAGCACCTGGCAGAGCTCAGCTCACACCCGCACTGGAGGGGTCGGCTCGACGTCATTTTATGTCTGCTCACGTGTCTTTCATCAGACTAGGAGCCTCTGAAGGGCAAGCACAGTGCCGAACACCCAGCAGGTGTTCTGTGTATGTCTGCTGGGTAAATGTTCCAGAGAGGGATGTGGGAAATGGTGAAGAAAAAAATATCTTTTAGACTTGGGCCAGGTAACCATATCATTCTTAGACACGGAAGAATTTGGGCCTGTTCTTTGAGTCCCTTTGTCAATTTCACTCTCATTTAACTGTAAAACCCTTACAATCACCCTAAGAAGCTGGTATTATAGCCTCCACTTTAACTAGTGGAAAGTGAGACTCAGAGATGTTTGGGCCACTTGTCTGAAGCTTCATAGTGAGGAAGTGATCAGATGCAAACCCAGCTCTTCCTGGCTACCAAACAAGACATTTATTACTAACGGTGTGATCTAACGCTGATAAGGCCCTTTCTACAGGCCAGGAGCTATTTTAAACATTCGTTTATGTACATTCTCATGCAGACAAGTCAATCAGGGAAGGATGACAATCGTCCCCGTGTTCCAGAGGAGCAAAATGAAGCCTGGAGAGGGTCCTGCAGTCGTTGAGCAGGGAAGACAAGGGTCTGAGCCTGGGCAGATTGCCTTTCAACTGCTGCACTGTACAGACAGCTGCATCTCACCCCTGTTCTCACAGGTCCTACAGCTGTTTGGGGAGCTTCTGTCTCTTTGACATCACATTCTACATTCCCAGGAGCTCATGCAAATGCTTGCAGAAAATGGTCTATGCATTAGCATGGCTGTGCAAAAGATGCACTTCACAGCAGCCCTTGAAGATCTTCATTTACAGTAGCCAATGAAGAATGCAGTTTCTTTGCTCCTGATAACTGGGCTCCATCTAAAAGGAATCCTCTAAGAATGCATACAGAGTCCTTGTTAATGAGGGCCAATAAATTACCAGCCCTCACTTTATTTCTACTAGCTCACCCTTTCCTGAGCAACATGAACAGCATTTCTGTTCCCTGTAATTCACTGCTCACTGTGGGCACTTAGCAAGCTGAACCGCTGCTGACTCTCAATTATCCCTGCAGATGGAGGAAAAGTGGTGGGATGGATAAACCCAAACTGTGCATAATTGAAAAAGCTTTTCTGCTCGGCTCTCCCATGGGTGAGATATTAATCTGCCTGTTTGTCCTTTAAGATTTATCTCAGCCAGGACATTTTCTTGGAAGACTTGCCTGACTCTGCGGGCCTAGGATGAACCTTTCTTGTTACTCTTGCAACCTCCGGTGCATCCTGTCATTAAAAAATAAAAGTCGCCAAGTACCTATAAGGTGTGGCGCACTGTGCTTTGCCTGGAACAATGACGGGAAACGAGAGGAATATGGCCCCTGATTGAACGGAGCTCCTTGTCCTGCTGGGGAGATGGAATGAAAAAAACCAGGCTGCTGGGGTAGAGTGTAAAAGGTGCTTTATCGTATAGAGGACTTGTGAAAGCACACTGCAGCTGCCTGGTCCTCCTCTGTGCTCTCACTGCTCTGCAAGCTTGCTGAGGGCAAGGCCACTGCTTTTATACCCTTGTTCTCCCATCTGTAAATACTGGTTAAACAAGAAACGTCTAAACAGCAAACATTTACCATGTATGTGCTGAGGGCAGAACACTGGCAGAGGCGCTAAAGGAATGAGGACAGAGCCTTGGTCCTGGCTCTCCTGTCCCCCTGGCTAGTCCATGCAGTCAGTCTGTAGTCCAGTTCAGTAAGCGATGTTGTAGAGAGATAACAGCTCTGGACCAGAACACCCTGGGAGATCTGATTCCTAATCCTGGCTCTGCCACAGGCTGTGTGACCTCAGCGGTCACTCTGTCCTCTGAACTCAGTTTCCTCATCTGGTTTTTGTGAGCATCCAAGGGGTTGGTCTATAAATTCCTTGAGTGTGGGGACCACAGGCACTTGTTAGGGGCACATAATCAATTTTTAAATGAACAAGTTAATAGATGTGAAATGACTCTAAAAACTATATATTTAGTACTGTACATACAGAAGACACCTTCAGTCCAGCGACATAGTGATAGCATGGGGAAGCAGTTTCAGGCTTGGGTGACACAGGACTAGAGACTTATCATTTAAAAGTGAGCACTTGACACATATCATGGGCGATTAAAAATGACTTTTGAATCAATGAAATTGGAGGACGCCTGCCTGGAAAGTTGTGATCTCACTTATGCAGGAAGCTTGTTAAGAAACTCAAGAGCACTGAGTTTAGAATCAGAGGCTCTGGCCATGGACCCAGCACTCCAATAGGAGGGCTTGATTTTTCTTACACTTAAAATGGTTGTCATACAGCCATTTTTATCTCACCGAGTTACTGGAAGGGTCAAAATTGAGTGAGGTGTAAAAATGCTTTGTTCTGTGAGGCTCCGTGTTGTTTTGAAGGGATGGCTGCTGTTTGTAAGGCATGCAAAAAGAAAGACAATCACTATTATTAAGCCGGTTTGGGAAATGTGACTGGTGAACCTCAAAGACAGGTTATGTTTACTCGTGAGCCTCCGCCTCCCCTAGGCTGCAGTTATAAATAGCAAAGTCAGGAGAGGCTGCAGCTTTCTGTTGGGCCCTCTGACAAGATGAGGTGAGCAAGTCATGTCCTACTTCAGTTAGTACATGAAGTGTACGGCATCCTGGGCAGCACTTGACACTGATGGCTTCTGGAAGCAAAGGAAATGTTCACACAGCACCTGCTAGGTCCCAAGTGCTGTCCTCCTCACTTTACATCTGCACATCACTTCCAGAAGCAGATAACACTGTATCCCTATTTTATAGGAAAAAATAGTTAAAGGATTAGGCTCCAGGTCACTTTACTTTATTCCAGAAAACAGGAGATGGCATGAAACCAGAGTCCACCCTGGACTGCGCTGAAGTGTGAAACACATTGCAATTGACCTAGGAGGAATAGATAAAAAGCACTTGGAGGCCCTTAAAAAAATGATGAGGCTCCTAATAGCAGTTTCCTAAAAGCCCAGCCATGTCTTTAGGCCCAAGAGCTTACCTTTTGTTAAGCAAATTGAGCCCTAGCCTGGCAATTGGAGGAAAGGAAAATTACTAGAGGCTTTTCCAATAGAGGGCGATAAAATACTCATTCCCTTAAATGCTACCTTCCTGTTAATGATGAACAGACAGCCTCAGAGGTCAGAACTGTTCAAAAACAAGTGTGATTTTTAGATAGTGGCTTAAAACACATACAGAATCTGATTGTGAAGCTCAGCATCAGCATTTGGAGCTGAAAAGAGTCTCAGGATTAATCTATTTAATATTTATAGAGGTCAGAGAGAGCTGGTGCTAGTGGAGAGCTCTACCTCCTGTAGCTGTGACCCTGTGAGCCTGACATCCCTCATCTGCCATGTGGCAATAACAGGGCTGTTGTGAGGGGTATCTTAATATTGCACATAAACCCTCATTTACAGAGCGGCCCACAATCTGCATAAAGGCTACCAAATCTATGTGTGCACCCACATGTGCACACACACAGCACACCTACTATTTCTAAGGGTCCTGTTGCCCTGCAGAGCAAGCTACCATGCCCCTCTAAAGAACCACAGGCCTATGGTGAGGCAACTAGGTACAAAGAGAAGAACAAGGCATTGCCTGAGAGACCCCTCAGTTTCATTTACTCATTTTACAGATGAGTAAACTGAGGCCCAGAGAAAGAAAGGAACTTGACAGCGTGGAATAATGGCTGTGTTGGTGGGACTTGTACTAAGATCCTGAATCCACATACAGTGGACTCTGTGTGACCTAGGTGAAGCCTCTTCGGTACTTCCTCCATGTGAGCTGGTTTCGTTCCCATGCCTACCTGTCAGTTAGGGAGATATTATTCCCTGACTTTGTCATTGGGGAAACTGAGTCTCTGAGAAGGCAAGCACCTTGCCCACTACCAGTCAGCCAAAGGTGGTTGGTGACAGAGCCAGAACTAGAACCCAGTTCTCCACTCACCTGATGCCCCGCTCAGAACCTTGTCCCCCACAGCCCTCTACAGGATACAATAGGAGTCCTGCCGACTACAGCTAAGCCTGAATTCAGAAACCTCTTATACTGAAGGGACTACTGTTTTAAAAGGTGCCCTGTACTTTGTCTCTATGTACCCACCCAGTTTTTTAAAATCCACTTGTCCATTGATTGGGGTGCTGGGTGAAAAAGGTGAAGGGATTGAGAAGTAGAGATTGGCAGCAAAATAAACATGGGGATATACAATACAGCACAGGGAATACAGTTAATAATAGTGAAATAACTGTATGGAGCCAGGTAGGTACTGGAAACATCAGGGAACCACTTTATAAAGTCTATGACTGTGTAACCACTACGCTGAACACCTGAAACTAATATAAGATAATACTGAGTGTAAACTGTAATTCAAAAATCTTTTTAAAAAGGAAAAAGAAAAGGTGTTCTCCCTTTCCTTTTTTAAAAAGGAAAAAGGAAAGGTGTTCCTCTAACCAGAGGAACACTGGTTCACGGCTCCCTTGGCCTCATATTCAGACCCTGCAAGGTTGTACTCAAAAATCTGACACTGAAGACAAATATGCAACTTATCAGTTTGAAGGCAGCAACTTTGTCAGTGATGTTTTTAAACAAAACTGAGAAGCACAACCTCACACCTGAATCCAGTCCAGACAGATTCAATGGATAGAAACACATGGGACCCTGACTGTTGCACAGGTGCTAACCTGTGGATACCTTCTGACTGTCTGAAAGCTCCCTTGTCCCTGGATATTCACCGGGATCAGTTCCAGGAAAACCCCACTTCCCACCCTCGGGATACCAAAACTGGCAGATGCACAAGTTGCCTATATAAAATGGTGCAGATCATTGCCTAGCAGTCGGCCCTCTGCATCTGCGGATTCCCAGCCAAAGACAGGAACCAGACCAGGTATTTATTGAAAGGAATCCACGTGGAAGTGGACATATTGTTCAATGGTCAAGTGTGCTTAGATTATTATTCCACGGGGCTGGTTTAAACTGAGCTGTTGATGGAGCTAACACTATACTTGGGTCATTTAGAATTCTGTACATTTGATGGAAACTGAAAATCCGTTTTATTTTTATTACTCAAGTAATGTGTGCCCAAGGCACAATAACAGACCACACAACTAAGTAAATTAAGAAGATTAAAATCACTTAGGAAATACATTAAAAATTTTCCTACCTCTATAATGTTCATCTTCCCATTAGGACCGAAATTCTAATGAGTGAAAAATGGGAGGCTGTCATGTGCGCTGGGCGTGTTGCTGGGTTGTAGTTACTCAGACTCTTTAGTGGGGAAGCAGGGGGGACGAAGCTGGGCTTCCCCACACCAGTCTGGGTTTGCTCTCAGTTCTAAACAGCTGTGCAACCTGAGAACACTACTCAACCTCTCTGAGTCTCAGTCTCCCCTGTAAAAGAGGGATTCGGGTGCCTACTTTGTAGAATACTTGTGAGAACTAAATGAATTAAAAGTGTGTTTATGGTTTTTCACATAAGCAGACATTTAAGAACATTAATTTACCTTCCTTTCAGAAGGGGTGAAACCTTTAGCTTTACTTTCTTTTATTCAGTTGATTTTCCCAATGTTGTTTTCAAGTAGCATTTTTGAATTTGCACTTCATTTTCAGTAGTGCAGTTAGCTTAAAGAAACTCAATGAGCATATTCTTTTGAGAAACAAAGCACTCTGCTATATTATGGACAATAACCCTCCAATGGATTACTTTAGTTAAATGGAATATTTGATTTTGGGGTCAACTGAAAATAGTTAAGAGCCATTCAAAGTTAAAACACTGTACCCAACTGGCCATTAACCATTTCAATGGTCAGGCATGAAAACTACCAGTAAATTAGAGGGAAAATAAAAGCCAATTCATGCAGAGGTATTTTAACAAGCCTGGAATGACCAAGTGGAGCGTGTGGGAGAGAGCCCTTGGCCCTTCGGACCCATCAGAGCATTTATCAGTAGTGGTGCAACGCTGAGAGAGAGAAGTGATTTTATTATACCTGATAAATGTTTTCTTCTGTTTCGGGATCACGGATTGGCTCGTGTCCAGCCTCAAACACAATGTACTATTATGGAGCAGCCAGAAAGGAAAGGTCAGAGGAAAAAGAAAGAGGAAAAAAAGCATTTGGAATTCAAGGTACAAATCACAGTGAGCATTAAAGAAATAGGTACAAGTGAAAATATGTTAAAGCGACAACTGAATTATTGAAATACCAGTGGGCCTTGCACATTTCTGTCTTTTCCAAGGGCAACTACAAATGTCTAATGGCCAGTCCTTAGTGATGACTGCATGGAGCCCAGCAGAACCTTCTGGAGTTATAACCTCCTCACTCAATGGCATTTATCCTAGTAATGCCTGCTGTGCTGGCACTGCTGAGTGGGAATGATGTCTCCTGGGACTGCGTGGACCCCAACTGTGTAAACTCTGGGTTACACTGGTTGCCTTCCTTTGCTCTTTAAGGTTCAAGTTCCTAAGCCAATTTTGGAGTGCTCGGAAGCCCCACACTCCCTCACCCCAGAAATATCACCTTAATTTACATTCTCAGTTTTAAATACTGGATATCAAATTTTACATGTGCATGTTTGTTTCTGCCTGTAAAGAACCGGGCCATATCAAAATGGCCTATGTTCTTCATTCTCTGTGAGCCTGTGAGCCAGGGCCAAGCTCCCATTATAAACAAACACTCGCCCTCAGCATTCAGTGTAAAGCAAGGGCGGTCAGGTCATTACATGCACCTTCGACTTCATTTTGTCTCCTATGCTAGATAATTCTTCTACTATAAGAGACCCACATTATCTTACCTTTTTAAATCTGTATTATTTTACTTTTGTCATAGAAGTTTTCTGTGTGAAAACAAGCATTCACATACATGTTTATGTGACACATGCACATCTATCACACATATGTGTCCCAGTTAGAAATATGTTTGTTTTCTTTCATGTCTAACAAGTCCATTTTGGGGCTTCTTTCTCTCCTTAGGAATAAGCATGGTGGGGGGAGGCCTCCTCTTCCCTTTTTTCTGCATCTTTGAACAGAGCACATACTTGAGCTTAAGAGAAGTCACCTCTCTACACACACCTGAGCTGCAACCTTGAAGAGAGTGCAGAGAAAGCTGCGGGCTGGGATGTCTCTGGGATCTCCTGTTCCCTCCTCACAACAGCACCTGTGGCATGAGCCAGCTAATCAGAGGGACAGCCTGGCCACATGGGGCTTCGAGAGACTTCTCCCCACAGCTTTTCTAAAGCCTACAAACAATCCTTTGGGTCTGTGTTCAAATGTCGTCAAAATGTCAGTCCCTGTCTCTAATTCTTAACTCAGAGGAATCCCCTCGTTACTCAGTCTCTCTAATGAACTCAGAAAAGTCAAGAGACTCTTGAGAACATTCAGTTCTGGGATTAGACTTTGACAGATTGTGGAGGGGCAGAGGCAGGGGCAAGAAGGGAGAAGCATATCTCCAAGTCCAGGTCATTGACGCCGGGCAAACTTCAGTTAGTGTTTATGGAAATTCGCTCTTGGAGGGGCTGGCAGTCCTCACTCTCAGAAATTGCCTAGGTCCCTCTCCTGGCTCTGCAGGCAGAGGATGCTTCAGGTCTCGGACAAAATGTCTGTACCATAGGCCTAGGCATTCCTGCCCCCAAAACCCCAACTGGTTTCGGAAATTACCTGGTACACAGGATCTTCAACATCCTCTTCCAGAATTGTCTACAGCAGAGTGAGGGTAAGGAGGGTGCAAAGCAGAGGACATAAAGGAGAGATGTGAGACTATGTTACAGGACAGTAAAGAAACCAGCTCTGGGAAGGAGAGGCTGGTGGGTCATTAAGCCAGAAAATACACAGAAAAACATCAAAACCCTTGCAGCCACCCCCACCCCTTTGGAACAACAGCAACAGCAACTGTGTTTCTTCCGTTGTCCTCCCCTGAAATCTTCCTCTGGATTCAAGATTTCAGAGAATAACGGATCATTTCTAATGCTTTGCTTTTGTGCCAGTAATTTACAGGGGAACCTTTCATCTTTGTTTCTACTTGGCAGGAGGAGGAGAAGCCCTGACTTCCCGTTTTCACATCTGTTTTCGTTAAGCCCCGATCTTCTCTGGTACCAGGATAAATTCACAGGTGTACCTGATACACAGCTTGTTCACACTGCTTATCCTTTTGTGCCTTTTTTTCCAATTCTTCTCTTTGCTTCAATTCATAAATAAGTTGAAAGAGATCTCTCAAGTCCAGAATAACAGGTTCAGCCTGGAGTAAAATGTCGTACAAAAAAGCATTAATATAAGGGGATGGGACTGAGCTGCAGACACCAATTTTTGTTTTCACTATGACCCACAGTTCTTCCTTTTTCTATTAAATGGAAAGCATTCCATCTTTAACTAATTCTACCTTGTTTATATTGGTTTAGCAAATTGCACTAGGCTAAAGTTCATTTCTTCAACTAATTATATTTGTAAATTCATAATAATCTAATCATAAGCATAAAGGCAATGCTTTTATTTATTAGTAATTTCGGATACGATAAAATTGGAGTAGGCCTTCTGCGAAATAGCTATTTGTTTTCTCTTATTTTCTTTTTAAATGAGGCTATGAACGCAAGGAAACTTATTGGTATACTGTGCCTCCATTTGGCATAATCAAAAAGGAATATAATTAGTCATTACGAAATACTCATTAGGAAAAAGCCACAACAAAACTGGATGGGCATGAGTGTGAGCATGTCCCCTAGCTTCACGGCTGTGTATCCTTCTCCAGACGGGAGCCTGAGTCCCAGCATTGCTTAGTCACACATTGGCAGGGCTTTCGGAATCCAGCAGCGGGACTGTGCGGTCCTGTAAAGTTATATAAGGAAAGGCGCCCTCCTTCGATGGGTACTCACCGCCTGGGCTGTTTTTATGGCCACAAATCTGTGATTCCCTTCCTTTCCACAAACGTATCCAAAGGCCCGGTGATCTGTGATGTCCTTGGCAATGTAGGAAATTTCGTGAACAGCATGATGATGCTGAAGGGCCTATGGGAGACAAAAGGAAGAGCATATTTCAGGGGACTTTCCCTTGGAGCTGTTAATCAATAAGAGATGTGTTTCAGCTACGTGTGAACAGGCCCAACGGGCTTTGGAAAAGCTGTTGGGTCCAGATGGAAGGAAAAAGAGCTGTGCCTGCCTTTGAGAAATGGAGACTCCCCTCTGAGGTCTTAGTGCAGTGACCGAGAGATAAACAGGACTGCTCATATGCTGAATGAGCGTCTGTGGTGGTGGTTTCTGCTGTATCTTTCTTCATGACAGCCCAGTCTAAGTTCTGGTTTGCTATTTAATACATTCACGTACCCAGCGCCTGTGCGGGCTGCGGTGGAAGACATACACTGTACATCCACTAGGGGCGCCATTCACACTCACAGAACCATGCTTTGCATGGTTACAACAATCTTCTGACAGATGGTGATGATAGATGGTCTTGAGGAACAAGCCCCTTTTTCTAACTTGGCCAAAGTCACCATTTGGGCTAGAGGTGGGGTTCCCCACATCTCTGAAGCTGTTCATGAGTTGGTCCCTCTGTCTGTAATGCCCATTTTTTTTATCCATTTGCCCAAATTTTATTTCTCTTCCAAAGGCCACTGGAAATAGCACCACCTCTGTGAAACCTCCCCTGAGCAAGCCTTCACTTCCCTCTCCCTGAAGAAATAATCCTTCCCTTCTGCGTTTCCATGGGACTTCAGTCTCTAGCAACAGTGAAACTCCCGATGCACTGGACTCCTCACACACAGCATCCTGGGCTCCTGCCTTCCCGGACCTTCCTGCTCTGTTGGTTTGCTTCCTTGCCCATCTCCCCCACCAGGCTCTGTCTTCCTCATCTTTGCATCCTAGCACCTTTCTGTGTGCCTGGCCCATAGTTGTAAATAAGGGAAATGGGGATAGCTGCTCAGTAATTTTGAAAATCTTTTGAAACTGACCTTCCTGCCTTTATTACCTAAGTTCCAACAAATAATGCTCCTGTTGGTGATAGTGGTCTTTACAATCACTTTCCTATACTAAACATACTTAAAGAAACCCTCATTAAACAGTACTCTGTAAAGGGTTATTTATATATCTGGGCATTATATGATCTGCTTAAAATCCTTATAACTTTCAGGGCCTTTCCATTATACTGGCTATTAAGAAGCTTCAATTCTAGCCACTATGTGAACATAAGGCACTCACTGTATCTCTCCGGACCTCAGTTCATTCCTCTCTCAAATGAGATGTTTGTATCAGATCAGTGACTCCTAATCTGAAGCACTGGATCTATTGGTGTCATTAAAGGTAATAAAAATAACTCCCAAGCAATTTTCAACATTTTAAAAAGCTAAACAGAAATGTATAATTATGGCTCATAGGTCTACACATTTCACTGTGCTTGCAAATGAAAATGCCAAGTTTATTTGGAATTGTATCAGGTTATTGCTGTACTCCTTAGCTAATCTTTGAGCAGATTCTCTTTGGAAATTCACTATGGGTTTAAATAATTCAAATAGGAAAGTGAATGATTATAAATGCCTATTTATGGACAGAATCTTATTCCTTACTGAGTCCCTGCAGGGAGGGAGATACGTAACACAATGGGAACTAAGTTATGAAAACAGTGGGAACCACTGGAGTAGATGTTGTCTGAGGTCTTGTTCCATCTCTCCAGATCCTTCAGCCATTAGACTCTCACATCACATGGCCAGCCTCTGACAACAGTGGATATCTGCTTCTCAGGATGGCCACCACTGGTCCTGGCCTTCCAAAACATCCATTCATAGCCTGTTGTCATCTTTCTAGGCTTCCAACTTTACGAATCACCTCTGCAGAATTTGCTGCCACGCCTTAGCCTTCCAGAGTCTGATCATTCACTAACCTTTTTACTCCCCTTGGGACTCTCCCTTCAGCTTTGTGCCCTGTCCAGGTTGCCCACTGCCCACTGGACATCATGCTTAGGGGGTGTTGCCAGTGCTCAGTCACCCTGGCTACTCAAATGGATATGAGACAACTGTATAATTCAAGTGGATTTCAACACAAGTAAGGCTGGTGAAGAAGGAAGTGTTTGTTGGCAGACTAATCAGGATCCATTTATTCTTGTTTTATTAAGAGTACATATTTAGCTAGCAGAGAAAAACTGCTCAAAGAGCAGTAGCTTTTTCATGGTGTTAATGATGCAAAATTGATGAGATTTATATTCACATTACATGGGGGTATTGATTTATAGGCTTCTGTGAGCTTGAATGGTAGACAGAAGGGAAGTGGGAGACAAAGACTTTCTCCTCTCCCTTTCCTGAAAGTATTTCTCTCTCTGCATAATGTGAAGAATGTTATCCACGTCTCCTGTTAAATCAAAGTTTGACGACAGTACCTTATTGATTGCCAAGTGGAATATTGCTTTAAAATTAAACTGCGATTAGAAGTCTTCCTGGTGGAATTAGATTTGGAGATGACTGTGCAATGGTAAAACATCACCTATGATGCAAGATGGCAGATGGAGATGTAATTTATCAGAGAGTCCTCATTAAGTATTTTAAAATCAAAACATTTTTAATGCCTGATGATACCTAATATTGCCTTGCAGAGTGTAGCTATGTGTGCATGAACTGCTTAAAGATATTTGTAACATTATCTTTTCCTATAGTTAATTTTATGACATGTTAAAAAGGACTGCTCGGAAAGTGGCTCATTCGTTTGGAAACTAAGAGTCAGTGAGAGGATGTGTCTCCACTTTCCACAACCTTAACCGTGCAGATATAATATAGATACTTGGACATACAAATATATTGGAATCCTGCTAATCCCACAGTCACATTATCACATTCATCTTGGCAGCTCAGAGGATCTTGCAACTACTTATTCACTGAGCCTCAAAATTGCTCCAGGTCTTCAAGTAGATTTTATCGGCATAAGCAAAGACAGTTGGAACAGATGATTACTAAATATCATCTAGTTCAACTCTGACTTTATTCATGAAAGGCCTGATGGTCAGAGAGAGTTCTGGCAGGACCACTCCTAAACGCAGGTCCCATTCTCCTTCCTCAGGATGATGAAGCTTTGAAAAAGGAAAACAAGATTATACAGAATCAAGGTCTCCTTTCCTTAGACTCCTGGCTCCATAATCCAACAACAAAACTATAACCCCAGGCAGGCCGGGCTGAAAAAGGGGACTGCTGGGTCAGGAGGCAGAACTGAATCTGTTCTGGCTTCCAGCAGAAGGAAGGTATCTGAGGTCAAAGAGTGTCATAAATCAGGTGTGGGTAAAAGCCAGCTACAAGGATCTCAAAGAAAAGGACAAGTAGCAGGACCTGGAAGTTAACTCTCAGGAGCTAGGCCATCTGTGGTATCTGTTGAGCAGCAAAGGCTGGAGACATGAGGTGAAGGAAACATGAGGTGAGGGAGACATGAGGTAAGGATGGCTTCACCCCAGAGTGTTTCTGGGGGGAGACCCTGGGGCCTCACAGGTTGTTCTGGGGGTGGCAGCGAATCCCAGGCTGGTGTGGGAGGGAGAGGGTGAAGGGATGACAGGTTCTGGTCAGCCTTCTTCCTTCCTTCTTCCTTGGAAAACAATTTTTGTCTTGGGAAAATTTACCCTAGATATTAAAACATTCCCAAAATCCAAAGCAGATATCTGGTTTGAAAACTAGCGGTTTTAAGAACATCCTATCTCTTAGCAAAATCTTCATTTATTCCTCCCATTCTGAACCCTGTTTATTACATCGTGGACAAAATTTTTACTGAACAATTCCAAGGACAGTTCAGAGATCAAATTCCTCAGTCCAGTTGGACCTTCCCTCCTGGGTGAACTTCAGCCAACCTGGACTGCAGGTAATCTGAAGGACTCATCACTCACATTTTTGGATCTGTACTTGCCTACCTCTGTGCCACGGATCACATTGTTTTCTCTGCTGATCTAGCTCTTCATCCTGACTCACACTCCGTTGACTCCACATAACTATACCACAGCTGTGTTTTGAGGCCTGGCTCCAACATCCTGCTCATCATCCAAGGAACCTTCCCTGACTGTCCCAATTCCCTTAGTTATATTGCCTGTCTCTAGATCTCATGGCATTGCATTTGTTCTTCTATCTAGGATGCTTCACAATTTTCAATTTTGTTTCACCTTCACCCATCCCTCATGTTATTCACACCATATGTATTTATTGAGCACCTGTTATGGTCCAGGTCTCATACTAAGCGCTACTTTTATCCAGATGATTAAAACAGAGTCACTTCCTTAAGGATCTCGCAATTGTATGCCACAGGGAGGCACTATCACAAGGCCAGCTTTATGTTCATGGTGTGCATAAGTTGTTACATAGAAGGAGGAAGGGCATCAGAGAAGTGGTGACAAAGGAGCTGACCTTGGACTGAGCCTCAAAGAATAAAGGAGGAGTACCAAGAAAATCAGGAGAAAAGAGCATTCTAGGCAGAAAGAACTTGTTTTTTTTTTCTCCACTTTAAAGTTATTAGTTAGCTGCTTAACGGAAAGATCAATGTTTGATTCTCCTCAATTTTATTCTCGCTCCTAATTTTGTTCCTTTTGAACAGTAAGTGCTAAATAACATTTGATAAATTAAAGAAAGAAGGAAGAACCAAGTTATCTGAAGACATACACTGCACAAAGTAGTTGCTCAATAAATGTTCAGTGAATGATTGAATCAGGTTAATTCATGACATTTCACACAGGACCCATTTTGTGAACAGAGGGTTTCTTATCTGATCATCATTACATCCTTTTTTTTCATTAGCATTTCCATGAGCCATTTACCAATGTTTAAATGAAGTATCAAATTGTTTGGAAGGTTACCATCTGACAGAATAAATTACAGAGAAGACTTAATTTGTACTATGGCTCAATACAGCCAATTAAATAAAGTATGGATTAGGAAGTCATCTGCTCAGACTTTACCATTAGCTTTTTTTAAAGAATAAATTCTACTCCATTTAGCCTTCATATTTTTATTGTGTGTGTGTATGAGAATGTGTGTTTTTCTGAGGCAACACTACTTACA